AGACGGCATCACAGTATGGTGAGGGGTGTAACATTTCCGTCTCACGCTTGAGGTATTTGGCCAATCACAACGCACTGGATAGCTGGCTAATCAGAGCACACCTCGCTTTTCAGACCGATTAGTTTTGTAAAAATCGACGCGTTTCAGAAAGGCGGGGCATAGAGGAGAAACAATAATGTACAGTATGTGGAAAATAATGTGTTTTTTTTAACTTTAAACCGCATAAACACATTTCATTACACCAAATACACAAAATAATGTTCTTTTTAGCAGCATCATATGACCCCTTTAAATAATTTTTGTGAATTATGTCCTCCAAATTAAAATATATATTTTTTTCATTCTAAGAGCCAGGTTTGACTAATGAATGTAGAATTGAACCTAAAAGCTGAATTATATGTTGTCAAGACAAAAGCATTTTTCATATATAAGTTGTGGCATGTGTTACAATATGACGATATTATTTTTTAAATTATGTGCTTAATAATTGTTATTTAGCACATAATATTCAATGTGACAACTTACCCTGCTTTTTTAGTTCCCAGAAAGGTCAACGTGTGTTCTGTGGACTTATAAGTGTGTTCAAACGTTTTGTGTAGGCCTATTCAAGATTTTACAGTAATATTAAGAAATTAAAAATATTTACTTGACTAAAAAGGTCAACGTGTGTTCTGTGGACTTATAAGTGTGTTCAAACTTTTGTGTATTCAAGATTTTACAGTAATATTAAGAAATTAAAAATATTTACTTGACTAAAAAGGTCAACGTGTGTTCTGTGGACTTATAAGTGTGTTCAAACTTTTGTGTATTCAAGATTTTACAGTAATATTAAGAAATTAAAAATATTTACTTGACTAAAACAATGACAACTAGCCCCCATCTGCTCTATTTGACTGACACACACGAAACTCATGCACAAACCTCTGTTGAAAACCTCATTGTTATTCTCCAAATCATCACACGATGTCGCTAAATACAAACCATAAATTCAACTCTCAAGACTATGAATTGTTTTAGGTTTTAATTACGAGGAAGATATGAAGTCGCGCTCGGGCTGGTTTCATGCCAGCTAGGTTGCTAATGATCGGGTTGATTTTGTTCGTCGTATGTCACACAGTTGAATGAATCACATTCTAATTCCTTGTTCTGAATTGGTCCAGTCAGTGAATCTGTCATTTATCTCTGCGGATTCCACAATACACGCTAGAGATTCATTAAAAAGCGCAGTCTTCCAGTAAATTCGGATTATTTATATTCCGCGCTCAAAACTTTATTGATCACCACTGTAATTCATCACGTTAATATATAGAGCGGTTCATTTGGAGGCTAGGACTCGTTCCAATAGCTCTTCTAGCGCTATGAATTCGGTGTCTAGCACATTGTCTTTTTGATAAAAACAAACGGCTATTTGTCTTATAATATTATTACTCTTTACCCCGCCCATGATTGGGTGTGCGCCTGTCATTGTCAAATCCGATTGGTTGTGGCTGAGCCCAAGAAAAACCGGCCCTGCTACATTTCCACCTTTCATTCAGAGTAGTGTATCAGATTGAGTGTGCGTGTGTGAGTACTAGTATGTAATACACAACAATTCCAGCTAACACTGGAGTTGAGAAAAGACATATCTCGTAGGTGAGAGCCTGCGCGCTCATGTTATTCTAATTCCTATCAAAGGAAG